TGTGAATATATGTATGTATGTGGTATGTGTGAATGTGTGTATGTATGTGTGAATGTGTGTATATGTATGTGTGTATGTGTGAATGTGTGTATGTGTGAATATATGTATGTATGTGGTATGTGTGAATGTGTGTATGTATGTGTGAATGTGTGTATATGTATGTGTGTATGTGTGAATGTGTGTATGTGTGAATGTGTGCTCTTGCAATTGCCACAGTGCACTTGTGGAGACTGGAGGACAATTGTGGGAGTTTGTTCTCTCTTACCTATGTGGGTTTAGAACTGAACTAAAATTGTGGGCCTTGGGGGCAATCCTATACTTAAAGACCTGTCTAGTTACCTATTTAATGTCTGTTTCTCCACCAGACTCTACCTGCTGAGCCATCTGAGGTTTCAATGGTCTTTTAAATGACCTCACATTTGCTATTGGGGGATTCTAGAAGGTCCCCCATGTGACTGCCAAGGATCACTATTTGTCAGGTCTGGTGGTGTAGACCCAAAATCCAAGCTACTCCAGACCAAGGCAGGATGCTTGCCAAGTTTAAAGCCTGCCTGGGCTGCAGTTCAAGCTCAGCTTAGGCAACCAAAGGAAACTCTGTCTCAAAATAAAGAGAAAAGAGGAATCAGTCAGGCTGTAACTCAGCGGCAGAGCGCTTGCCAAGTGTTCACAAAGTCACGTATCCTCGGTGTCACGCACACACAGTTCATCTTGTCAGTCTAATGCTGTTAGATGCCTAGTGAATGCTAACCCTGAGCTGGCTGACTGGAAGACTGGAAAACACTGTGGAGTGACAGGGTCTCTGAAGGACTAATTTGCAGGAGGAGACTCATTTGGGCAGTTTGGAGGGCTCCTGGAGGGAAATGAGTTAGGGTTCTGGCTTAATTCTTGTCTTCTGTGTGGGTGGCATTGTTGGTCAAGTCCCTCAGATGCCAGAGTGAGGCTCAGAGCAGCCTGAGCTCAGCTGGTGCAGTCTCTCTGGTTACCTAAGGAAGCACTGGCTGTGCCTGCCCCACACCCTCAGGAGCCTGAGAGAGCTCAAGCGCAAGAACTTCCTGTGACCTTGAAGCTTCCTGTGGATCTCATGCTCTGTGATATTACAAGTATGGGGAAGCTCCATGGAGGAGGATTTGATGCCAGGTTCGGTGTGACCTTTGTCCTTCTTCAACACAAAGGGAGAAAGGGGTGGTGGATCTCAGTCTCCGGGGGACCCAAGGGATGTATTTAAGCAAGGTCCACTGAGGTGGCAGATGGGAAGCCCCAAGCCTTTATTTCTTTCTCTCTTAAAAAAATAATTCTTTTAAAACCATATGAAAACTCGCGAATGTATCATATCTGCTCCTTCCACCTCCTCTCCAACTTCTCCCATATCACCCTCCAAATTTATGATCTCTTTTTTTTTTTTTTTTTGGTTTTTACGAGACAGGGTTTCTCTGTATTGTTTTGGAGGCTGTTGGTCCAGCCTGGCCTCGAACTCACAGAGATCCGCCTGCCTCTGCCTCCCAAGTGCTGGGATTAAAGGCATGCGCCACCACCGCCCGGCTATGATCTCTTTTAAAATAACAACAGCAACAACAGCAACAACAACAATAATAATAGAGCTAGGGTCTCATTACATAACCCTGGCTGTCCTGGAACTCACTCTGTAGACCAGACTGGCCTCGAACTCACAGAGATCCACCTGCCTCTGCCTCCCCAGTGCTGGGATTAAAGGCATGTGCCACCATGCCCAGACCCTTTATTTATTATTGTTATTGAGTCAATTTAGCTCTGTTCATATGTACATGTGTTCAGGGCTGACCACTTGGGATTGGATAAACTATGTGGGAGAATGAGTCTCCCCTTCTTAGCAGGCATTGACAACCTGGAGCTCTTCCTCTTGGGGTGGGACCATGTAGAATTTTTTCTGTCCACACTGGCAGGTTGATTGATAACTTCATTGTGCTGGTCTTGTTCAGGCAACTGTATTGTTGAGAGCTCACAGTTGCAGTTTCCCTAACATATATAGACGATGCTATGTCACAGCAGATGTCCTGGTTCTCTGACTGTTACAATGTTTCTGTCCCCTCTTTCATGATTTTCTCTGAGCCTTAGGGGTTATGTTGCAGATGAGACCTATCTTATAGGCTGGAATTGGCCACAGTCACTTATCCTCTGCATTTTGACCACTTATGAACCCCTGTAAAGAAGCTACTTTGACAAAAGACAGGAGCTACACCTACCTTTGGTTATAAGGATAAGTTAGCAATTACATTGGTTTAGGAACTGGCATTAGTGTGTTCTCCTCTGGCCTATGGCTTCTCCAGCCACAGGTAGCTGGCTAGGTTTACAGAACCAGGAACACATTCCCTCCTGTTGAGTGGACCTTAAGTCCAACTAGACAGCTGTTGGTCACCTCTAAGATAAAATGTCACTCTTGCACCATTGTGGGGATCCTCTGCGTGGTCCAGAGGCTTTGCAGTGGGTAGGGCTATTGATTACTCTTTCCTTTGGTAACATGCTTAGCACCTTCTGTCACTGTGAGAGCCAGTCCTCAGGGAGGAGGCTTCCAGGAAGCTCCAGCCTGATTCCTCCAAGCCCTGTGTCCTAAGTGTGTGGTGTCTCCATCAAGAAAGTCTTACCTTATTTATTGCCTTCTGGGAGGCAACAGAGGGCAATGCCAACAGCCTCCATTGTTTTGAGAGTCTCTTGGGTAGCCCCTGACCAAAAATCCAAAGGGAGATTTTCTTTTCTTCTAGATAGTCTATGACTCTTGGGAAGTGCCACACCTTCATTTAAATTATTTATATATAGCTTCTGCAGTTACTCAGGTTACACACATTTTAAGATTCAGAGCCAGGATCCACAAATAAGAGAGAAAACGTGGCGTTGCCTCATTTAGTAGAAAAATGTCCTAGCCCCATCTGTGTCCTTGGAAAGTTCATGATTTCAGTTTTCTTTACAGTCGAGTAGAATTCTGGTGTGCACGTGTGTCACACCCTCACAACATTTGTTCTCTTGGTCTTTGAGATTTCATGTCCCCCCAACCAGAACGGCTAAGTATTTTTCACATCTTATTTATTTCTGTGTGTGTGCGCACGTGAGCACAGCATGCATAGGTGTAGGTAGGGGATAATTGGTGAGAGTTGGTTGCATCTTGCTACCATGTGGGTCCCACTAACTGAACTCAGGCTACAGGACTTGTGGCAAGCACCTCTGTCAGCTGAGCTATCTAACCAGTCCTTCAAAGTAGTTTCAGTTTGCATTTCCCTAATCGCTGAGTATGTTGAGCACTTTGAAGGTATTTATTAACGGCTTTATCTCTTCTTTAGAGAACTGTCTGTTCAGAACCATGGCCAGTTTTGTTTTCTTAGCTCTGTATTTCAGTTCTTTATTTTATGTATGCTGGGTATCAACTCTCGATGCCCGACTGGCAAAGCTGTCCCCATTCTGTGGGTGTCCTCTTCACTCAGTCGAGTCTTTCCTTTGCTGTGCAGAAGCTTTTCCGTTTTATGAGATCATATTTGTCAATTGTTGGCCTTAATTCCTGAGTGGATGAGGTCTTTGGTCTATTTGGAATTGATTTTTAAGGAGGGTGATAGAAATGGTTCTTATTTCACTCTTCCACATGTGGGCGAAGCTTTCTTTCACAAAGTGCCTCTGACAGTGATGGGCATATTTTGGAGCTGAGTTTTCAGTGGCAGCCAAGTAGATTCCAGCTCCTCCTGACTCTGGGCATCTCCGTGTGCGCCCCCCCCCCCCCCAGGGTGCATGCAGCTTTCTCTGGGGTCTTTTTTCTCCTCTTCTCTGGCTTCCCTGGTTCTTCATGCCTTGAGCTTCTTTCCTACCCCCGCCTCCTGCAAGGCTTCTTTGTGTCCCTTGAGGTGCTGCCAACAGCTTGGAGAAAGAGGAAGGGGCTCATAACCTCCCGGAGGGAGTGGAAACGTGCTTGTGCACAGTTGTCTGGCATGGGTGGAGTGCCTGTGGGGTTGTAATAATTGTCAAGAATGACTTCCTCATAGCATCTCTCCAGTGTTTGGTAGCTGAATTTCTATTTGTTCTTGTTTGGAGTTGCATCCTTAAAGATCCCAAATATTCCCCCCCCCCCCCCAGAATTCCTCTAGGAGAGGAAGTGAGCAGACACTGTTGTTCCACTAAAGAAAACCCTAGGAATTCAAATGAGAGGCTTGGCAGTTCCCAGGGGCAGCCGATCATCTTCAGGGTGCCTTTCTCCTGGGGACCCTGCCTCAGGCGGAGGCTGGACCAGAGTACTAGATACAGATTAATGCTCCTCTACGCGCTAGAGCAGGGGTGAAATCCATCCTGGGAGAATCCCAGGCCCCTGGTCCTTCTCCCAGCCTCCCAGGTGTAGTTTTCTAGATGGTCAATTCATTTCGTAGAGGGGTGTCTCTCACTTATCTACTGGAGGGGCTTGCCCCAGCTGGAGTGGCCTGGGGTAGCATGTTGGGAGGAGCAGGGCCTCAGGATTGGCTGCTGTTCTACCGATTCTGGCTAGAGATGCCTGCTTGGTGTGGGGCAGGCTCTGTCTCACATGTCACGGATGATTGCTGGGTTGGGCTAAAGGAGGGACTGGGTGCCCTGCTTTTCTTGCCATTTCTACATCGCGCCATGCCTTTGCTGCACCACCTCTGCCAGCCTCTGGGTTGCCCAGGGCCTGTGCTGCCTCTGTGAGCTTGGATGTCTCTCTGGGAGCTGCGTTCTCCCGTATCCTGCACCTCCATGGCGTGCAGTGCCTCCACTGCTCCCTGTACGTGTGCTCTCCTCTCTCTCCTTCTCCAGGAAGCCTTCCTTGAATACCCCCAGTGATGTCAACCGTTGCCCCGAACCATGGCTCATGTCTCTAGATGCTTCCTTGTCTTTGGCTTCTAGGGCAGGGCCTGGTCTCCTGCCTTAGGCTCTCTCTGCACGTGCGACGCACCTATTCCCCAGGTGTGTCAGAGCAGATCAGCCGCAGCAAGTGGCAGACACAGTCACACTGAGAACATCTTGCTCTCCAAGGCCCAGCCCAGGGACGGGAGGGGATAAAGTCTCGTGCCAGGGCCCCAGGGCAGAAGCACACACACCGTGACCATCTCCAGTCTCTCTGAAGCTGCGGGCCTGTCTGTCTCTGCCATGTCTCTCTCCCCTTGCCGGGCCCAGAGGGGCTTCAGTGCTCGCTCAGCATGTTCTGCTTTTTCAGGGGCTCGAGGCAGGGCTGGCTTCAGCAGCAGGAGCCTTAGCTCCTCCAGAAGATGCAGAGGAAGCTCTTGTGAGAGGGTCTGGGGGGCAGAGGCCAGGCAAGGGGTACGGTTTGGGCGTGGGAGTGGAGGGCCTGGTCTTTCCCAGTGCCCTCCAGGGGGCATCCAAGCGGTGACAGTCAACCAGAGTCTGCTGACCCCACTGAAGATTGAGGTTGACCCCCAGTTCCAGGTGGTGAAGACACAGGAGACTCAAGAGATCAGAACCCTCAACAACCAATTTGCTTCCTTCATTGACAAGGTGAGGGTAAATGCGGTCCCTGCTTCTGGGACTCCCACAGACAATTGCTCTAGACAAGATGAGCTAGAAAGAGGAGAGCCGACCTATTCCTGCCACTTCCTGCATCACTTCAGTGGCAAGGAAATCCTCCCAGAGTCTAGATAGTGGCTTTCTGGTTTGCTGATGCCTTGCTGTTCCATGGCTGGGACTCAGGGACTGAGAATAGCTAGGTAGTGATCTCTATTGTCCCATCCAGTTGTGGATGTTCCTAGGTTCTTATGGGAGGGCTCGAGGTTCCTCTGCACAGGCAGGGATGAAAGGCAAGATTAAGGGGCCCACAAGAGGGTCTTTGAGGCTTCCCTTTCCAGAAGCTGTGCCAGGAGAGTTCCAGGAATCTCAGGACCCTGTGTCTGGTTCCAGGTGCGCTTCCTGGAGCAGCAGAACAAGGTGTTGGAGACCAAGTGGGAGCTGCTGCAGCAGCTGCAGGGGAACCACAGCCCTCAGGGCCTGGAGCCCATCTTTGAAGCCTGCCTGGCTAGGCTCAGGCAACAGCTAGAGGAGCTGCAGAGAGAGCGAGGGGCTCTGGATTCTGAGCTGAAGACCTACCAGGATCAGGAGGATGAGTACAAATCCAAGTAGGGAGCACAAGGTTCTGTGTGGTGTCTAGTGGGTGGCGTGTGGAGTTCTCTGTCAACCACCACAGGGCCTCCTCCACGTCCAGAACCCAGGGCTGCATGGCTGGCCTCTATCCTGCCCCTTGGCTTCCCCTGTCCTGATTCACAAGGGTCATCTGTACTATGTAGAGGAGACTCTCCAGCCCCACCCAGGCTTGGAGAGACCTGGGAGAAATGTGGAGGTCTCTTTCCGGAGGACCGAGGCCCAGCTTCAAGGGTCCACGTGAATGGTCAGGACTGGGAAGGGCTGATTTAAACAACACCTGACAGCTTTCTCGAGAAATTCCTGTTTAGCAGGCTATGGGACTAATGTGACTCAGACGTCCTCTGGTCTTGGGTGGAGGGCAGTCAGTTTAGTGCACCCGTCCCCAGGCCCATGGTATGATTTACAGCTGGACTGTGGCTCCAGGCTCTCTATGTAGGCAGCCTGGTGGTGCAGACAACCCTGGGCTGAGGGGTGGTGAGGGCTGGAGAGCAAGGTAGGCCTCCTGCTTCTCCCAGCCTTGGTTTCTACTGTTATAGTCTGGGAAAAGGCCATTTCCGTTTGTGGTCTCCAGGGCCATTGGGAAAGAAACAGGGGAGGTGGGGTAGGGAGAGAGACCCCCAAGGTTTCTGTTCTGATGTAAACAGTCCTGTTCCCTCCCATGAAACCCATGTTGTCTGCTCAGAGGCATCTTAGTGCTTGGAAAACCATCAAGACATGTGGCCTACTGTTGTGAGGGATACAGGCCAACTCAGGGGTAGAGATAGGGTATGACGAACCCCCTGGAAGGGAATGGGAAAAGGGTCAATGGTGGTTCCTAATATGGGGCCTCTGAAGAGACAAGGGCACTCAGGGAGGGTATGGAGTGCAGAGTGCAGGGGTGGACTGTAGCAGGGGAATGTGGGGGTGCAGAGTGCAGGGGTGGACTGGAGGCAGGGAGGGTATGGGGTACAGAGTGCAGGAGTGGACTGGAGGCAGGGAGGGTAAAGGGTGCAGATGTAGCTCTAACCTGGTGCTTGGCTGTCATTTTCCATTTGCAGGTATGACCAGGAAGCTCACAAGCATGCCTCGGTGCAGAATGACTTTGTGGTCCTTAAGAAGGTGGGAGGGGCTCAGATGCTCCACTCAGAAAGATCCACCATGCTCTAAGTCTGGCCCCAGGCTCGGGGACCATAGGGCAGAGATACTGACTGAGGACAGTCCGTCACTCTCCATGGAGTCACTCCCTGCCAGAATGGGATATTTACCTAGACACGGGCACCCAAAATCAGATCTGAATGAGGTGCTGTTCGGCAGGCTCTGGACTTGCTGCACAGTGCAAGAGGCTGGGCAGCAGGGGAGGAAGTGCAGACAGCACAGTGGGCGGGCGTTAATCAGGAACAGTGTCTGGTCTGGCAGATAGAGCAGAGCAGGGTGGAGTGGGGAGAGGCAGGGGGTCTCCAGACACAGTGTCATGGGGGTCAGGAAAGGAAGCGGGAGATGCATGGTTTCTGTCTCCCTGTCCTCAGGATGTAGATGAGGTATTCCAGAGCAAGATGGATTTGGAAGGCAAACTGGAGTCTCTGAGAGAATACGTCTGCTTCTTGACACGTCTGTATGAAGAAGTAAGGACCCGTGAAGAACAGGGAGAAATGACAGAAGGGACAGGATGGGCAGGCTCCCTGGGGCCATGAGGGGAGCCACTAGGAGGGGAAGCCTATTAGGATGGCTTTGGTTTGTGGTCCTTTGTCATTTGACAATCAGCCACTAAGCATTAGCGTGGGAATTCACCATGAATAACCAGGCAAAGCCCTCATGGCTGCTTCTACTAGGAGGCAGGCAGAGCACCAGTCTTAGCAAATGTAAATTCCATCCTCTGTTAGACAGTGACAGGTGCTACGGGGAGCAGGGAAGGGGGGGGGGTGGGAATGTGAGTCGGTGGTAATTGCAACTGAGCCTGATGCAAAAGGTGAAATCAGGCTGACAATGTGAAGGAGGGACGAAGCTCTTCATGCAGATGGTTTCTGGCACTCTTGGCAGAGGCTGTGTCCTGAGGTGACCAGTGTGACTGGGGCAGGAGGCGTGTGTGTAGGAAGTGTGACAAGGAGTGAGAGGGGTGACAGGGACAGGCAATTTTGGGTCTCGTGGGTCGTTTTCCTTTACTGTCCACACTGCAACCATCACTGGAGATCACCTCAGTAGTCCTTACTTTGCAAATCCAGACCACCACTGGGTGATGGGCAAGTGGATGGACATTCAGACATCCTTCCCCCCCTTGTGGGGACAGGGGATAGGGAGCCAGGGTGGTAGACACTGAGTTGGTCTTTCCCATAGGAACTGGGGCAACTGCAGACCCAGGCAGATGACATGTCTGTGGTGCTGTCCATGGATAACAACCGTTGCTTGGACTTCAGTGACATCATCGCTGAGGTCCGTGCCCGGTATGAGGAGATCACACAGACTAGCAAGGCGGAGGCGGAGGCTGTGTTCCAGACCAAGGTGCTGTGGCCCAAAGAGCAAGCTGAGGATGGCTGGGTGGTCACATTCACACCCCAGGGAGGTCACCAACTTTGGTTCTATTGGGGCAGCTCTGATGACATCCTTGAGGTTCAGGGCTCAGTGGATAGGGCTGTGTCCACAGATTAGAAGGGGGACAATGACAATAAAGTAGGAGATAGGCTTGAACCTCTGCAGGCATGTCTACCATGAGCTCTGCAGTGCGGTTGGCCTGCGCTGGGAAAAATGCAGACATCAGGAGGCATCTCCCCGGGTGGGAAGATGGCAGATCCCCGATTCCGGGTTCAGAGATAGCTGTCGACTCAACCAATGGTATTACCTTTGTGTCCTCAGTACCAGGAACTCCAGGCATCAGCCCAGCTTCAAGGGGACAGCATGAAGGAAGTCCGGATGCAGCTTTCCCAGCTTCGGCAGGCCATACAGAAGCTGCAGAGTCAGATTTCAAGCCTCAAGATGCAGGTAGGCTCCCTGTGTCTACCGCTGCAACCACTGCCTGGTGCCTCCGTCCTCCACTGTGCGTCGTTTTCTTCCCAAACAGGGTCATAGGGGGATGAGTAGGGGACCCAGATAATTGTCTGGGACTCTGGATCATGTATTTTGTGGTGGGGAGGTTGGAGACAGATCTTCCAGCCTCTGAATTGATTTCACCAGTTCCCTGTTAACTCCAGCCTTCACGTTGGCTTTTCTGGGCAGAGCCCTTGCACTGTACAGCACCAAGGAGACTGTTACAGTCTCCATCCAGGTGGACATCTAGCTTCTGCCTCCTTGGAGAGAGTGTTGGTTTACCTCTTGGTTCATCTCTTCTTCTGACTCTTCCTCCACAAGCAAAAGGGAACGTGTGTGAAAGAGAGGGGGGAGCCCACGAAAGGGAGATGGGCTATGGGTGAGGCCGTCTCAGGAGACCTCGCTCAAGGCTGAGGGGGTCTGAGGTGCCCTGTTATCCCAGATAGGAAGGGTACTGGCTTACTAGTTATCAAGTTTATGCTCATGTTTCTCACAGCCGAAGGCTGGATTTGAGACCCATAGTGGGTGACGAGCATAGGTACTGCATATCAGGAGAGTATATATGTGGGTGCAAGGTGCCTGCTGGCTATGTGGGCATGGCTATCTGAACCCCCAACCTCACAATTGCACAGCAAGTGCTCCCGACCTAAGTCATCTCTGCAGCCTCCCCTCCTAAATCTGATTTTATTTAAAATTAATTTTATGTGTATGCATGCTTTGCTTGCAATAATGTCTGTATACCATGTGTGTGCCTGGTACCCATATGTGAACCACCATGTGGTTCCTGGGAATTGAGCCCGGGACCTCTGGAAGAGCAGCCAGAGCTCTTAACCACTGAGTCACCTCTCCACTCCCTGCTTCTTAAAGAATCTATTAATTCTTATTTTATGTGATTTGGTATTCTGCTTGCATGTGTATCGGTACACCTGCATTTCAAATAAACACACCAGGGCCAGCCCCGAGGAGCCATAGCTTCTTACCCACTGCAGGTAGTTTTCTTTTTTGTCTGTTACTTTTTTTTGCACAGGCCCGAGAGACTGGGCTTTTCATGCTGCCTTAGAGTGCTGGTTCCCTACCCAGGCACCCATCACCTTTCTGAGAGATGGAGAGGAGATTTTGTTCCTGGTCTGGGGTATTTGTGTAGGGACAGAGCAGTGACAGCCTCTGGAGGATTTCTTCCTCTCTGAATCTGAAATGACGTTGAGTCGCCCACACCCATTTCCGCTTCTCTCCTCACACCTAGCCTTTCAGTGTCCAGTGACTGGATTTACGACTCAGACTAAGTACCATATGATGTCATGAGATACTTAACAGAGTATGCCAGCCAAGACCCTGCTTCCAAAAAGATCATGTTCTGAGGTTCTGGGTGAACATGAAGATGTTGAAAGAACTTCAGTGAACCCCCTGCCACAGGCAAAGAAGCCGTCAGGCAATATTTCCCCTTAGGATGAGAGGGGCTGGGCATGGTGTGGTCATGCATAATTTTGAGCTCATGAGATTAGGGTCTTCAAATTTTACCCATGGTGGTTGTTTTGAGATCCTGTAAGGCTTATAGCTACTTTCTACCTCATTCCTACTCCCCTCCAGAATGGTACTCTGCAGTCTGCCATTGCTGATGCTGAGCAGCATGGAGAGATGGCTCTGAGGGATGCTCAGGCCAAGTTGGATGAGCTGGAGGGTGCTCTGAGAACAGCGAAGCAAGACATGGCCCAAATGTTGCGTGAATACCAGGAACTGATGGGCACAAAGTTGTCCCTGGATGTGGAGATTGCCATGTATCGAAGACTGCTGGAGAGCGAGGAATGCAGGTGGGGGACCTAGAGAGACCTGGGGAAATGAGACTGGGTTGGGGGAGAATGGAAGGCCAGTGCAGGCCTTTCTTTGCTAGAAGGGATTCTGAGATTTCCTTACCCTGTAAGTCACTAAGGGCAACCAATCCTGCTGGGAAGGATTTTAAATTGGAGATTGCATTCATTACAGTCTTTCTTAGTGTTATCCCTCTTGTCCTTCCTTCCCTAGGATATCTAAGGAGTACACCAGCCAGGTCACTGTCTGTGAGTATGAGGGACCTTTGAGAGTAGGATTACCTTGTGGTGCTGAGGGCCTTCTTGTGACTCTAGTGCTTTCTTGGCAGCCACGGCAGAAGGCAGTGTTGTTGTCCCTGGAGGAGTTGGTGGAGGCCAAGTGATCATACCTGGAAGAATTGGAGGAGGCCAAATGATTGTACCTGGAAGAATTGGAGGAGGCCAAATGATTGTGCCTGGAAGAATTGGAGGAGGCCAAATGATTGTGCCTGGAAGAATTGGAGGAGGCCAAGTGGTCAAACCTAGAGGAGACTGTAGAGGCCAAATGGTCATGTCTGGAGGAGGTTGTGGAGGCCAAATGGTCATTCCTGGAAGAGTCGATGGAGGCCAAGTGGTCATTCCTGGAAGAGTTGATGGAGGCCAAATGGTTATTCCTGGAAGAGTTGATGGAGGCCAAAAAGTCATTCCTGGAAGAGTTGATGGAGGCCAAATGGTCATTCCTGGAAGAGTTGATGGAGGCCAAGTGGTCATTCCTGGAAGAGTTGATGGAGGCCAAGTTGTCATTCCTGGAAGAGTTGATGGAGGCCAAAAAGTCATTCCTGGAAGAGTTGATGGAGGCCAAATGGTCATTCCTGGAAGAGTCGATGGAGGCCAAGTGGTCATTCCTGGAAGAGTTGATGGAGGCCAAAAAGTCATTCCTGGAAGAGTTGATGGAGGCCAAGTGGTCATTCCTGGAAGAGTTGATGGAGGCCAAGTGGTCATTCCTGGAAGAGTTGATGGAGGCCAAATGGTCATTCCTGGAAGAGTCGATGGAGGCCAAGTGGTCATTCCTGGAAGAGTTGATGGAGGCCAAAAAGTCATTCCTGGAAGAGTTGATGGAGGCCAAGTTGTCATTCCTGGAAGAGTTGATGGAGGCCAAATGGTTATTCCTGGAAGAGTTGATGGAGGCCAAATGGTCATTCCTGGAAGAGTTGATGGAGGCCAAGTGGTCATTCCTGGAAGAGTTGATGGAGGCCAAGTGGTCATTCCTGGAAGAGTTGATGGAGGCCAAATGCCTGGAGAAGACTGCAGAGGACAAATGGTCAAGCCTGGAGGAGTTGATGGAGGTCAAAAGGTCATACCTGGAATTGTTGATGGAGGCCAAATGGTCATGCCTGGAGGAATTGATGAAAACCAAGTGGTCATGCCTGGGGAAGACTGTAGAGGGCAAATGGTGCCTGGAGGAGTTGATGAAGGCCAAATGGTCATGCCTGGAGGAGATTATAGAGGCCAAATGGTCATGCCTGGAAGAGATTGTAGAGGCCAAATGGTGCCTGGAGAAGATTGTGGAGGCCAAATGGTTGTGCCTGGAGGAGATTGTAGAGGCCAAATGGTTATGCCTGGAGGAGATTATAGAGGCCAAATGGTCATGCCTGGAGAAGATTGTAGAGGCCAAATGGTTATGCCTGGAGGAGATTGTAGAGGCCAAATGGTTATGCCTGGAGGAGATTGTAGAGGCCAAATGGTTATGCCTGGAGGAGATTGTAGAGGCCAAATGGTTATGCCTGGAGGAGATTGTAGAGGCCAAATGGTCATTCCTGGAGGAGATTGTAGAGGCCAAGTGGTCGTGCCTGGAGGAGATTGTGGAGGCCAAATGGTTGTGCCTGGAGGAATTGGTGATGGTCAATTGGGCACTTGTGGACTCAGAGGCAGCTTTGGATCTAGGGGCTGCTCTAGCATCGTAACTGGTGGCTTTGATGTCCCCCAGGGATCTGGGTGCAGTCCTAGCATGGGTTCCTGCTCTGTGTCTGGCTCTGGCTTCAGTTCTGGCTCTGGCTCCTGTTGCCGCACCATCCTGAAGAAGACAGTGGAATCAAGTCGGAAGACATCTGTCATTTACTGAATGACCAGGCAATCATATCCCTTCTGGACCCAGCAGCCCTGCTCCCAACCCATCCCCCATGTCCAATGTCCACAGCCCAAGGCAACCCATTGGGCACTGGAGAAAAGTCAATAAAGTCGGACTGCTTGCTGTTCCAAGTGCTCAGCTGGCAGGCCTTGCTCTGCATACTCATTTGCATCTCATTTGTGCGTGTGTGCCCGTGTGTGCCCGTGTGTGCCCGTGTGTGCCCGTGTGTGTGTGTGTGTGTGTGTGTGTGTGTGTGTGTGTTCCACATGATGCATAGGCCCTGTCCTCCAGCCAGCAGCTGTTTTCACTCCCTTCTCCATGGTCTTCAGGCTGGCCTGGAAGTTCTTTTGTCTAGGCTTTGGCAAGACTCCATCCCTAGTTCAAATACCCTTCAGTGGGAGGGAGTATCTAGAGGTCACAAACCTGAAGCTGGAGTCTGGAACCAGGGAGTGCAACTTGGTTTCTTTCCCTACCCTCTTTCTGCAAATGTTTCTCCAGCTGTTCTGTGCAGTGCTATAGCATCAGTCCCCCTGTCATCTTCCCCTCCTCACAAGCCACCTTTGTGCTGTGTGCCAGCACTGGGGCTCCTCTGACAAGTACCAGGCCCTGTCCACTTCTGCTACCTCCAGCAAGACCCTCCTACCTGTGATCCTGCGCTTCCTTCCAGACCAAGGACTGGCCTCTTGCCACTAGTTCGGATCCCCTGTGTTGGGAACGTGGGTTTGTGGGAGGCTGCCTTTTGTCCTGTTCCTCCTTCCAGTCCACAGCCCAGTGTTACCCAGGGCAGCAAGCCCAGTTCCTGCTACCCTCCCATCACCACTGCAGAGCCTTGCCCTGGCCTTGGCACTCCTGAGTAGGAACATCCCAGCAGGTGCACAGTTCAGTCCAGATGCTCAGCAATAGCCTTGAAATGAGTTCCAAGGGCATTTGCAGGAGAGGCTGAAGGGTGGAGGCAAGTGTAACTTCTATGCCACTTTTTTACCAGCAATTCAACTCTGCCTCTGGCTCTCACCCCTTATCAAAAACAAAACAAAACACAGAACAAAATACAATCTGTGCATTTCTCCAGCCCACATTAGTGGGGATGTGGGAGATGGAGCAGCATGTTTGATGTGGGTACTTTCTACAGTGTCCCCAGAGTGGGGGAGAAGTCAATCATCCCAGAACCTCCTGACTCCCATGAGCCTGGCTTCCTTCAGAACGTCCTGAAAGAGAAGAAAAACATTTCTAGACTCACGTTCAGACAGGTCCAGAGATGAGCTAGAGCTAGAGACATCATTTCAAGTCCCCATGAGATCCCTTTCCTGGGTTCAGGAGGAAGAAACAGTCCAGGGGTCCCAAGCTAATAGAGACACAGGTTCTCCCCTACCAGTACTAAATGTATATCCAGGACACTTAAGCATGAAGAGAATACCCCACTGAGTCAAAATCACATCACTAGGAATGGTAGAGCTTGAACCAAAGTACCCTCCATGCCTCCTGCATGGCTTCTTCCCAGATAAGTGATGTGTGTTTCTTCCCTGCTCCCCTTCCTGTCCTGGGGCCTAGAGAGAGTCAGTCTGGCTATGCTGCCAGCTCTGTGGCCTGGGCTGAGGGATGTCTTGAAGTTCTGATGCTGTGCCAGGGAAAGGGAGTTCCATCTGCCTCCGTGCCACCGCTGCTGGCCTCTTTTTTATTTTCTCAAGCTCTTATTACAATTTTTGTGTGTATGGGTTTGTGAATGTGTGCAGTGTCTGAAGAAGCCAAAAGAGGGCATAAGAGTAAGGTGGTAGTGGTGCACGCCTTCAATCCCACCTCTCACCATATAGCACAACCCCAGACAGGGCAATTCAACTGAGTCCACAGAGTCCACTTAAGCTGGCTTGGGAATGTCCTTGACTGCTGGGGTCTCTATTGTGCTTCCGGTGGGGGACTTCTGTTTCTTTAATTAAAAGTTAAATTTGAGCCTATAGGGTCTCACTCTTCAGGCTGGCTTGGAACTATGTAAATCAGGATGTCCTCCAACTCATGATCACCCTTAGCCTCCCAGTACTGACTATGATTTCAGATATAAGCTATGATATCAACCGAATAGAGAACTTCTTTCTACATCATTATTACTATTTATTATTACTGTGTGTGTGTTAGGTCAGGTGATATCTTTGGGAGCTGATTTTCTCCTTCCCAGGTGTAGGATATGGGTATTGGAACTTTGATCTCTAGGTTTGCGCAGTAAGTGCTTTCACCCACTGAGCCATCACCCTGACCCCAAATGAGGAGCTTCTTAATGACCTTGTCGCTGGAGCACATACTGGGTCCAGTCCATGCAGAGAATTGTTCACAGCTGTCACCTCTTTTCACAACCCTGATTCCTTTATTTGTTTACCACCCAGAAGTGAGGACCTTAGAGAGCTGAACTGACCTTACAGGAAGGGTTATTTCCCGAGGAGAAGAGAACCGGGGCCAGGGACCTGCAGTAACAAGGAGCAGGGAAGAAGCCACCACCCCTCCAGTAAGCCAGCTAACTTTTTCAGGTTACCTGGGACCAAGGAGACTTTCAGTGTTAATCTAGGACAGATCAGGGAAGAGCGGGCATCAGCTACCCTGTAGAGAGAGGAAGAGACATGAGACATGGCACAAATGAATAGTTTCTGGGACAGTGGGGGAGGTACCCCTGGGAGAAGCGTGGCCCAAGATGGTGGGAGCTAGCAAGAATATACATTTCTTTCCCTTCTGATCTCTTCTTAGGTCAACCTGGTTGGAAGAAGGGAACAAGAGAGCAGTGTCCAGGTGTGTGGAAGGTGGGCGTGGCCCTGAGGTAGGACAGAGACCAAGGCGTATAGCCAGGGCTGGGTAAAGGGCTGCCATCACTGCATGGAAGATTCTCAGGCCACACTGGGTCACACTCAGTACCTGCTGATGATAATACTCATTCTTACTAGACTGGAAAGTTCTTCTCTTGGGAGGCGCCTTGCCCTGTGTCTTCCATGTTGTTCACATCCAAGCTGTTTTAGATTAGGAATGTCAGTTGCCATTATCAGCTACTCTGACCCATGCTTTTGGTGACAGTAGCATTCAAATGCCCAAGCTCTTGTCTCCTGCTAGCTGGTGAGGGCTCAGGCAGATGAGAGTCTCCAGAGTTGGAGGCCCTTGGCAGTTAGCAGTAGAAGCGGCAGCAGGCTGTAGCTCTCCCTTCCTTTGGAAGCCCTTCCTCTCTGGACTTCCTCCATAATATTTGTGGGAGGCTACAAATTTGGATCAAGTTCAGGCACTTACTGCCAATGGACAGAACCTTGGTAGGCTCACCAGTCAGTTAATTAATGAGCTATAGCCATTAAATCGCCTTTCCCAGAGCTGCTGTGTGTGATCCTGGTATTAGCAGGAGCCCTTTGGAGTCCTGGGTGCTTGATTCATGAATCTTTTTATTCTTTACTTCTCTTTGGTTTACAATTATTCATATAAGCCCCACCACTTTTAAAGGCATGGGGTTTCATATTTATTTATTTAGACAGGGTTTCTCTGTGTAACAGCTCTGCCTGTCCTGTCTGGCTGTCTGTAGACCAGGCTGACCTCGAACTCACAGAGATCCACCTGCCTCTGCTTCCTGAATGCTGTGATTAAAGGCTGGGATTTCCTCTTAAAAGACTGCAAAAGCCAGGTGTGGTGGCACATGCTTTTTACTTTAGGGTTTGACACATAGAAATAAGAGGATCAGGAGATTAACATCATTCTTAGCTACACACTGAGTTTAAGAATAGCTTGGGCCTGTGTGTGTTCTCTGCAAAAGACTTCCAAAGAAGGCTTGAGTTTGATGTCTAAAAAACAGCAACAGAGTTACAGAGCTGGGAGTAAAGGCTGAAGAGGCAAAGCAACCTCACATGACCCTGCCTGGGCCGGTGGTGATCTGTCTGGTTGGGAAGGGGAGGTTGTCTGTAAGCAACAACTTTGTCTCCCGAGAGTGGGCCTGGCACAGAGAGTGTGCTTGGTAAATACGTAAATGAATTGCATGCCTGAATGCTCCTCTTTGGGGTGGGGTACATTCATGTTTACAGCCCGACTCCCACTCCCACCACTCCAGCCATACAGTGACTCACAGCACTGACTGACATCATCTTCCCCGCCTCGGGGACCACAACAGCAGCCTGGAGGCTAGGACCCACTCACAGCTATCTCGACTCCCACGCTGCCAGGCAGAGATAAGGGAGCCTGAGAAAGGGTTCTCAGCCTGGGGAAAGGAGACGAAGGGTGGTTGGTCTAAGGCCATTATTTCTCCAAAGGACTTCTGCAGTAGACTATGCTTCCAGTTAGAGAGGTTGCTTTCCCAGATGCCGGCTCTCATCAGGGAAGGCAGTCTTTTGGGTGGCATTAAGGGGCTAGTTTTATGGATCTTCACCCCTGGAAGAAGCTGGGTTCAGTGCTTCACGGAAATGAGAGCAGCTTGAACTCCCCAGTGGTCCCGGTGAAAGATCCCGCACCCTCCTTCGGAGCCTAGAGGCCACCATCCTCACCTAGGTCCTGAGCTTCTCTGTTAGGGTTCAAGCTGGCTGAGCATCCCAGTTCTTGTCTGGCAAAGTAAACACTGCTCAATCCCCATCCTTTCTGGACCCTCCTCTCACCGAATGATGAAGAGGTGAAGAGGGCTGGTTTCAAGACTTTCTTCCATGGTCTGGGATCCCGTGTGCGAAGTCTCTCTAGCACTGTTGCAGCTGTGCTTGGTTCTAGAAACCTGACTGGAAAGAGAGTAGGAGATGATGTAAAGTGACATTGCTCTTCTGAACTGAGCATGTGGCCTTGAGGTGGACAGGGAAAGAGAAGGGTGATGGAGGCCCAGGGTGAGCCATTTGGGGCTTCTTGAATGTGTGTATACCTTCAGCTATTCCAAAATGGCTGCTCTCTGCTGGAAGGTTCCATCAAGGAAGAGCTTAGGGGTGGTCAGAAACTCCCTGCCCCCTTCCAGTTCCAGGAAAGACAGACGAGGTCCTAAGCCCTAACACCCTTAGAAGACTAAGCCTTTATTTTCTTTCTTTTGTTTTTTATTTTTTGGTTTTGGGACAGGGTCTAATGGAACTCAGGCTGGCCCTGGACTTCTGATCCTCCTTCCTTTGCCTCTGGAGTGCTGGGATTAAAGGTGTGTACCACTATGCCTGGTTAGAGCCACATTGTGTGCCCAGACAGGCCAG